ATACCTGCTATATATAACTTTTTGCATTAAATATTAAAGTTTGATGTATTTATATAACAATCCCAAAATAAATGATCAGATAAATACACATATTTACATATTTATGTCCTTATCTGATATATAATGGGTATTCTTTCCATGCTGTAGCGTTGCAATCAGTTCGACTGGCACCTCTCTGCTTGTGATATTACGAGTGTCAAAGTTCCAAATGAAATGTGACTAGTAGCTACAGACTAGCAATCAGCATTTGTCACGTGTAGTACGAACTAGTCATCGTATCATTAATTAAGAGCATTTATTTAAAAAAAAAATGGGTAAAGGTCGACAAAATAAGCCGAAAAAGAATTTTGCTGAAAAACGTCGTGAAAAATTAAAGGTATAATTCTCCGTTAATTCTAAGAAAATATAAGAGGTTATAAAGAAAAGTTATATACATTTATGTATTTTTAAAATTAATATGTTTAATATTTCTTTTCTTATTTGATTTAATGTTGGATAGCAATGTTTGAAAATTATTTTTGATTATTAACATATTCTTGATTATTAACATTTTTTTAACATCTTGATTATTAACATTTAATTAATGTTTGCAGAAAAAAGATACATGGGATAGTACTCCTTGTAGGAGCTATGCAGATATTATTCGAGAGAACAAAGATTTTGAAAATTATTACAAGATGCAAGGAATAGTTCCAGAAGATAAATGGGATGCGTTTATCAGCACTATAAGAACTAACCTACCAGTTGCTTTCCGTATTACTGGTTCAAAATCTGAAGCTAAAGCCTTATTAGAGATAATTAAAGGAGACTTTTTCAAGGAAATTTTAAATGCAAATTTGGATAGTAATAAAGAGGTTGCTGATGATCCTGCAAAAACTATATTACATAGTCTACCCTTTTATCCAGAGGAATTAGCTTGGCAATTGCAATTAACTAGGAAAGATATTCGACGATCTGAGGCATACTTTAAACTGCATAACTTTCTTATTGCTGAAACTAATAACGGCAGTATTAGTAGACAGGAAGTAGTTAGTATGGTTCCTCCTTTGGTTTTGGATGTTAAACCTTCGCATAAGGTATTTTTCTCGTTTATTCTCATTTATTTCTATCAATTAATTTTAGTTAACTTTTTTATCTGGTTTTAGTTGGAATAAGAAATCCGGTTTTAGAAAGAATAAGAAAGAAATTATCTGATTTTAGTAAGAATAAGAAAAAAATAAAAGAATAAATTAAATTGAGATTAAAATTAATAGATATTGATATAAATAGATATTAGAACTATTACCTTTTATAAGTTGATAAACATGATACAATATATATAAACTTTACCTATAGGTTCTTGATATGTGTGCGGCACCAGGATCAAAAACAGCGCAACTTATAGAAATGATACATGCAGATGAAGCAAATAATCTTCCGGGTAACTAATATTGTATTAGAAAAAAATAAATGTTGCATAAATATTTAATATTAATATTTAATATCTCAATTTTAGAGGGTTTTGTGATAGCCAATGATGTTGATAACAATCGCTGCTATATGTTAGTGCACCAAGCTAAAAGGCTGAACAGTCCAAATATTCTTATCACAAATCATGATTCCTCAATTATGCCGAACTTTATGATTACAAAATCAGATGGTACAAAAGATGTATTAAAGTAGGAACTCAAACTTTATAATGTAAATAATTACATATGTACTGAGAATTTCCATGTAAACTTTATTTTTTAATAGATTTGACAGAATACTTGCAGACGTTCCATGTAGTGGTGACGGTACTATGCGAAAAATCCAGATATATGGTGCAAATGGAGTCCTGCTAATGGCAGTAATCTCCATGGGTATAAATTAATATAATCTGTAAATTTATATGTTATATAATAACATATTATTAATTTTAACTATTTTATAGAATTCAGTATAGGATAGTGAAACGTGGCCTAGAATTACTAGCAGTTGGAGGAAGAATGGTTTATTCCACGTGTTCGTTAAATCCCATCGAAAATGAAGCAGTACTTCATAGGATTCTTAGTGAGACTGGAGACTCAGTACAGTTAGTTGACTGTAGAAATTTAGTACCAGGATTGATATGTGACCCTGGTTAGTTTTAAGATATATATATATATATAAAATATCAAATATCATATATATAAAATATATATGAATATCTACAAAGATAATTATAAATCTGTAAAAATATGTATATTTTATATGACGACATATTTTAGGTGTTACATATTGGAAACCGGCATCTAAAAATTTACAATATTATGAAAGCTGGGATGATGTTCCAGAACAATGGCAAACACAAGTACGGCCAAAAATGTTTCCTCCAAAAGCAAACGAAGCTTCTAAATTTCACCTTGAACGTTGGCAAGTGTTATAAATTAATAAAAAAGAATATTATTTCCATAGATTACATTCATCAATTTTTTAGTATGAGAATATTACCTCATCATCAAGATACTGGAGGTTTCTTTGTGGCTGTTTTGGAGAAAGTAAAATCTCTGCCATGGGAAAATGAAAATTGTTCATTAAAGCAAAATATACAGAATGCAAGTGATAATAAAAATAAGACGCTTGAAGAAGAAACTTCACAGGATACAAAATTTTCAGAAAATGGAAAAAGAACTTTAGAAGAAGAAAAGAAATCACGAGAGCCACAAAAGAAACGAAGGAAGATAGTCGGTTACAGAGAAGATCCATTTGTCTTTTTCAAAGATGAAACAGAAGATGTATGGCAATCGATTAAGTAAGTTTCAGTTTTGTACATTTTATATAATTGCTTTTTTGATATCGTTTAATATTCAATTTTCAGAGATTTTTATGGTATATCTGACGATTTGGATCCACGTTGTCTACTAGTAAGATGTCATGAAGGAAAAAAGAAAAATATTTATTTCACATCACCAGCAATTCGTGATGTGGTGATATCAAACGAGAATAAAGTAAAAATGATCAATACCGGCGTTAAGACATTTGTGCGATGTGACAATAAAAATATGAATTGCGCCTTTAGACTTGCTCAAGAAGGAATGCATAGCATTATTCGTTACATAAGTAATGACAGAAAAGTTCAGATTTCGAAAGAAGATTTAATAATGCTTTTACAAAATGATGATCCACATACACCACCTGAAATTGTAAAATTAAGTTCAGACACTCAGGAACGTCTCAAGGAATTTGGTAAATATAATGTTTCTTTTTTTACTTGTTTATATGACAATTCATAAATATAACTTGAAAAATATTTAATTTAAGCAACTGGAAGTTGTATATTGTTATACGAAGAAAAGAAGACTGACAATATAAATCTAAATCTCCAACTAGTAGGATGGAGGGGAACAATGTCTCTTAGAGCATATGTGCCTACTTGCGATGCGATTCATTTTTTACGACTTTTAGGAGCGGATTGTTCTAAATTTGGTATGTTGCACATATTAATATCATACTATCGTGAAAGAATATATATCTTATTGTTTACATTGTAATTCTAGAGAAAAACAAATTTGAGGAAAATCGTGCAGCTGCATTAACTGAGGAAACCAATAACGATGAAGTCAAAACTGAAGATTGATGAAAAAGTTATAACAGAAAAGTTATAACAGAGGATAATATCCAGAAGCTGATAATGAATTAAAATTAAATTATTCATTACAATATAATTAAGATTTACCAACTTTTCTAATTTCTTACATGTTTTTTTTACTGTAAAATAAAATATTTAAATTGTATTTTTTTGTTTGATAGAAGCATTTTCTAATTAGATTTAATGATAATCAAGTATCACTGATGTAATCTGTCTTATGTATCATAAATTATGTTTTAAACAAAGACAAAAACTAAAAAAAATATGATTTATGGGATAAAAACTTTGACGATGAAATAATGATAAAATGATTGTTTTTACTGTCCATTTTCTATGAAATAACTTTTATGAAATTACATGCATTATCTAATCTTGTTTGAGCGATAAAGGGCTTTTCATTTCCTAATAATATTATTATGGTATTTGACAGTTTGCCATAGTATAAATTTTTATAAATATGGCCGGATGCAAGGAATCATTAATCCTGAAATGATTGATGTTTTCGTAACATCTGATATCACTGTTTTTAATAATTGATGCATCCCTGCATATGTCCTGGATATCATGTAACAATGATAAAAAGAGTGAAACCTATTAACAGCTTCTAACATTTCTCATCTTAGTCAAGTCATGTCTCCCATATGATTTTGCAAACTTAAGCTTAATTAACAAACGTGTTGCCTAAATCTTTAAACATTAGATTTCGCAGCTTATAATTAAAAATCCGCTCTATATAAATTTCTACAAGTAAAGGACGGGTTCTGCTATAAAAATGATTTAAATGTAGATATAAACATAGAAAAACGCTGGACAGCACACACACATATATATATATATATATATATATATATATATATATATATATACACAACATATACATAAACTATAAAATAAATAAAATCAAAATCCCCTTCTCTAAGATTTGTCAAATTCTTCCGTGGGCTTCGAAGTTGACGCCCGATGCTAGTAATCTCTACCCGTGGGTGATGTTAACTTGCCGCTAAGATTTTGCGAGTTAGACGGTGATTTCGTACCTAGAGTCATACAAAAATTTCGAATTTCTTTAGAATTGTAAAACAAAGTTTTTTTGCTATTACAAAGCTTTGTTATATTCTACAGAAAATTTTATAGAGAATTTTTTTCTATATTTATTACTAACAACTTAAATAGTTTACTTTTTATTGAATTAATAATGTATCATCACTTACAACTTTTTCCTATCTTGCTTCGTGGGTTATTTACACATGGATGTTCCCCCATAAGATGTTCTCTCCACTTGTTTTGATTGACTAATGCTGAACAAAGGGGACAGCGTTCATATCCCTCTATAGGTTCTAAAATAAAAATTACAATTTAAAATTCTGTTTTTATGTCATAAATCGGAATAATAAAATAATACTTGTGCATTTTTTATCTTGTCTGTGATTTTCAAATGCATTTTCATGCACTGCCTGTTTACACGTATCACATTTTACATAGTTACTCCTCATGTCACATTCATCTGTAGAAAAATTGAGCATGTCTAGTACATATAATTCCAATAGCCACAAAATTATTAATTTTATGATGCTTTTTCAATTGTTTATGAAATGCTCTCAAGTACTAAATGCTTAAACATACTAAAAGTTTTAAATGTTTAAAAGTACTAAAAGATTTAAACGTATTAAATTCTCACATACTTACTCAACAAATGCAGATTTAAATAAGAAATTTCTACGACTTGCTTACACGCTTCACATTTTGTTAACATGGGACAAGTTCTCCAATAATGTATGTTCAGACCTTCCTCGGAATATACTTGACCCTTTGACAAGCAAAATATGCACATTCTGCAAAGTATATAAAACCATCAAAATGATTTTTTATGATTTGCCCCTATTTCTTTATATTTAATTTATCTCTACAGATGATGAATTTAGTTTGGCATTATACGTACTTATCTCCCTTATGATCAGTACTGTTTTCGGACGGAGATGTGATACTCGTTGAGCTTCCGGTACTTACAACTGGACTCGATCTCGAAGGCGATTTAGTTATATTAGTTACATTATTTTCCGTAGATCTAGTTCGCGTAGGAGTCGTTGTTGCTTTATGGGTGGATTCAGCTTCCTTTTTTCTCTGTAATTGTTCGCATTGAATCTCCATTTTACAGTCTTTGATATTACATACCTGAAGATCGATTAAATCAAATTCATGGAAGAGTTGGCGATACAGTAGATTCCGCCGTGTTATATCGTCGTCAGGTGGCAATTGCTTTCGCACCAGTCTGGGATTGACTTTGTAAACCAACACGAGAATCCTCTCGGAGACTTTTCTCACTGCCTCAGCCGGATGGTGCAGACCGGAAGAACCTAATTCGGATAACGTCCGACAAGTCAGCCCGCTACAACAATTACAATACCTTATCAGAGTAATTGCGTTTTAATAATACAGGGTTGAGCTTGAGGAAGGACCTCTGCTCGAATCGATTAGACGAAAGTCAGGAAGGACTGCTTTTCGATGGCAGAGGCCCGATATTCCTCAAAATATTTGGTAAATATTTTTCATTTAAGTTCGAGCGTCCTGAGGATATTGTTCAGAATCACCTTTGTTTTTCCGTGGAGATGCCATGGCTCAGTATCAGTTGCTCCACCATTTCTAGTCTACTTAGCGCGAGCCTTTGATGTGTGCTACTGTTGACGGGTCTAGTCAAATGCACCGGTATTATATGCAACTCCCTCACGCATTTGCAATCCGCCATGCTGAGAATTGTATGCACTGCCATATTATGTATTCTCGGGGTGGTGTCTCCGGACTTTGTCAGAAGTTCCGGTAGCAGACGTTCGACACTTCTGGCAATTTCAGTCGAAGACACTCTAAATAAATCGTCGATAAATTAGTTAGTTAAACTAAAAGCTCAACTTTACTGCAAAAGAACAATATTTTTACATTTGATAGAGAGAGTTTACCTGTCCGCGGCAAACTCGGCAAAGAAGATTCGAATAAGTTGTGCGGCCAAGCTGTACACGCTGAAAACTTTGTCTCTGAGAGCCCTATGCAACAATAGAATCGCTGCCCTGGCCGTTTTATTTGGAGAATGTTTTGAAACCTCTGGGTCGAACGACTTTAATTCCTCTTTTAGTTGCATCAGTCCTTCTTCCTTGTCCGTGAATTGCTTTGAATAGAACTTCTCTACCTATATACATTTATCATTGTTTATCCTGTTTATGTTCAAGCAATGTAGGATAGCTTTGTTCTTACCATCTCCATTCCGAAAACCGCAATAGGTAACGCAGCTTGTTTCTTCTCTCTATCGTTGAGTTTCGAAATAACTTTCGTCTCTGTACTGTCTAAGTGACACTCCCTCGTAAACTCATTTGTGTGTGAGCTAAAAATTAAATATCAACGAAAGTTTCCTCCGCTGTTTCAACGTATTCATAATGTCTTAACGTTGTACTATCTTACTGTCTGAGAGCAGGAATGGTTCTTTCCTCGTAGGCTTCATAACTCGACCGAAGAGTTGGACCTGCTGATTTAGTTTTCCGTCTAAGGGATCCTTTATTACAGTTACTTTGCTTCTCAAGAACACCATTCGTAGGACTATCTGTTACTTCTGAGAAGTACAAAAATTTGATGTCATATAAATTTAAAAAATTTAAATCGTTTTAAAAAAATAAAATACGACGTATTGAGTGAATTATACCGGGACTGTTGGACTTTTGACGCAATGGCGACACGGGCGGTTGATGTGCAGGACCAGTTGGTGACAAAGCACCATCGCGATTAGGTGGAATAACCAGTCTCGGAGGAGATGTCATGTCATCAGGTAATGCCGCTGTGTTCGAAGTGTCGGTCGATGTTGGTTCTTTGTCTTCCGATATGTTGTTCTTTTCTACGGGCTGCAGCATTTTTTAATTAATTTGATAATTATATTTTTAAAACTTTCATGGATATTTTCTACAAAATTGTGCAGTAGTTTGTGGGTTATCACTGTGTCATGATTCATTAATATCAATGTTCCACGATTCATTAATATCAATGTTCCATGATCATTGCAATTTACTTTATCAGGACGAAGGACAACCTGATATTTGGCATCAGAATGCTCTCCGTCCTAATGAAAATAGTAATATTCATAAAATATTGGTATTAATAATAGATCATGACAAAATAGTAAACTACGACATAATGATAATTATTATTATTATTACTGAGCTTTTGTTGGTAAAAGTTTCCGAACAAATTGCTATGCTATTTACCCCATGGACTTCGAGCAAGTTGTGTATCTCCAGTGATTGATAAACCTGCTGTCTATATTGTTGTGCTTGCGCCTTTTTAGCCTTAGCTTTATCATAATCTTCCAAAGCTATGGCGTATTTCTTTTCCAATTCGTACTTGCCCAAACGTTCGCCTGCTTTTCTAAGATTTTCCATTGCCACTTTTAGTTTCGAAGCGTATTCAAATCTTTCTTCTTCTACTGCCAATAATTTCTTTACTTCCATTTGCCTTATAATTTTAGCTACTTCACGATCGACGTACATTTCGAACGCCAGATCATCATATGGTGAGATATAATGCGGATTATATGGAGCATCTCCCTGTCCAGTTAATTCTTGGCCGTAAGGTTCGCCAAGTATATTTATGGCAATAAGGCCAACCTGATATAAAAACATTTTGTTTAAAAAGACCTTTTATACAATTTTATTTACAATTTTTAATAGATTTATCTGTGCGTTTGTAATTTACTTTTAATTCATTTTATTTTCTTACACTTATTTTATTTAATCAGTTTATATTTCGTTTCAGGTTTTTTTAAAGAATTTATTTATTTTAATTATCAATCGTTCTGTACCTGACAGTAAGTATTGTGCGCATTACTGTGCGGTTTGTGTAACCTGAGCTTCAGTGAAAGCGCTTCCGTTTCTGGAAGAGCCACGCTTTTCAGCTCCCTGCTCTTGTAAAGGGTCGACGCGTTGTCGGATAGTGTGATGTAGCCCAGGTAACTAAAGTCTGTCGAAGCGGATGCATTTTCTTCCCTCGATGTCCAGATCTCCAACTTCTCGGCTGTAATCGAAATAGATAGGACGGTTTATGTTCCTTGCAAAAGTTAAATAGATAATATACGTCAGAATACATTTATATTTGCCTGTAAACTTATATTAAAAATTAACAATGAAAATGTGATTCTCTTGCCACCCAATACGGTTTCATTTCCGGTAATGTAATCGGAAAATGAGGAAGAGGAGACGATGTAGCCTCGGGACGGTTGTAGCTACGGTAGGCTCGTTAATTCAATTTTCATTGTTCAGCAAATTGCTTTTTAACAGGAATGTCATTTTGACGGACAATAATGACTTTAATCGCGTTAAAAAAACTTTTATTATTATTTTTGTATTATATTTATGATATAATATTGTGATAGATAACAATAAATTGAAATTTTTTAGAATCAGAATTTGTTTTTTTATGTCTTACACATATAGAATTAAATTAATAAATAATATAATTGCAAACATAAAATTTTTATTAGTTTAGCAAGTTCCAATTTTACTTTTAAATATTAATATTAATTTTAATATTAATTTTACAAAATCATATAATATTAGTAATTTGTGTTATTAATTATTATATTTTTAGAAATATATGGTTTAATAATAGTTTGAATAGTTTTTATTTTTAATTAGTTTTAGAAACTTACGTATGAGGTACTGATGAGCCAGGACTTGTATTCTCGTAAGTTTCGTGGGCCCATGAAGACGTAGAATCAGTTCCTGAGGATACGTGCAATTTCTTGCACTCTGCCAACCTCTAACTGTCGGCCCATGAACATTAAGCTCTAATGATGAGTGCCTATCCTCCTCACCTTAAAAATAAATTTCAAAATGTGAATAGATTCCAAGTTCAATTTTTATTATCAAGAGAGCACTCAAAATATTCCACAGCTCTTTTTTACTTTATTTGAAATTTAATTGCATATATTTTTATCTCGATTTTATTATTTGATATATTAAACAGTAATGAAAATTATTCTCATGCAAAATGCAATGATAAAATCACTCTCTAGCACAATTTTATTATTTTTCTTAATAATAAAACAATTAAATAATTATAAATTGACTAGAATTAATAACTATGATATAATATTTTAAATATCTAAATACTTCCATCGAAATGTCAATCGAAAGCCAAACGTCGAGCGAGCATGCTCAAGCAAGTTCTTACTATACGTTACTTAATTATTGATGCACACAGTTGCGTATGGTGCTGGATATCACTACTTATTGTTCAGATATTTTCTTGAATATTTTTTCTTATGGTAATTTTACATTTTTATTTACAAGAACTACGATTTTACACGCTTTTGCAAGAAGAATTGGTATTCGATACTGTCGTTTATAAATTTTCAAAACGTTTTTCTTTTTGAAGAAAAAAGGCATTTTGGAGTAACGCAACATTGTCACGCGATATAGCAGTTTCACACACAATTTACAATCACGTATTTCTCGGGTTTGTTATGTCACGGTCGTTGCGGTCTTGAACCCGTGCCATTTATGGGCTTACGAATTTATAACGTCGTCGATACATTTTTAAAAATAATTTCGCGATTGCGGCACAGATTATTGCTCGCGTCGATCAGATCAGAGACACGTGCTGAATAACGTGCTTCATCGTGAACCAAAAGACCCGCAGGCTTGCCTCGCGGTTAAAATTGATGTATCCGAAGCGAATATACGATGAAAGGAATGTTAAAGTACAGTGATGTGGACCATCACGACGAGAATAATTAAAACGTCAAAAGCTGTACGGATCTCATCGGCAAATGGTTGATTATGGAACAAAAAGAAAAGTCTGTGATCTTATTAAAAATGTACTTATAAAAAAAATTATATCAGTTAAATTGTACGATTTGTAATTAATTTTAATTAATTCTTTTAGGAATAATCACAAATCGTACTATTCTAATTATCACGACATCCCATATCGAGCAATAGCTGAATATACTATCTGAAACGCTGAGGTAGTCAAGCAGTCACCGTTTACGGTAACCATTTAATCCTGTGTGTATTATTTACTAGTAAAATTTTGGTTTCCGTAATAATATGCAACTTCTTTGCTATTATCGCTCGAGGTTAGTACGCGTTTTATTTCACAGATCTGAGTCTGGCCGTCTTACTCGTGGCGTAAACGACGTTGAATCCGACTTTCCTGGGCATGTCGAAGGGTGCTGAGCGTCGAGAAATGGCAACCGATGAAGCGAATGGCGAGATAAACGACTGAAATGTTGTAACCACGAAGCACACGGACGAATAAACGGGGAGGAATGGAGGGACACGTCAAAATCTAAAAGGCACAGCCATCTGCAAGCTCGATAAAGGGGGAGCTTGCAAGTTTCACCCCGGCGCGCAGGCCACCCCACTTGCACATCCGGCCGCGGCGAAGCTTGCGACAGAACTGGCTTCATGCTGGCACCATCATCACCCCGTCTCCGCTAAACGGGTTGAGGGATTTTCCTGCGAAAAAGGCATGCGTATATTCGCAAATGTGCGACAGCTTTACACATGCTGCTCTAACGCAGATATTGAGGAGACGTCGCAATGTTATGAGTCGATTTCCGTACAATTGTCAAAAAATCTTGAAAGAAAGGAATGAATCGAAAAATCAGAAACTTAATAAAAATTTATTTTCCTGAATCGTGAAAGATAAAGAGTTAATCTTGTGATTTAATTTCTTGTTCCTTTCTTCCTATTCTTATCTATTTATTTTAATTCCCACGAGGAACAACTCGGAGTTAAATATAAATTGCTTCTCTTCTGAGGTCAAACCTAAAAATATATTCTCGCTTAAAATTGCTGGTTGAAACTTTGTAATCTTCTTTTTTAATTTCTATATTCGGTACTTTATAATTACATTCCTAAGTTATGTCTTTATAAAAATCTTAAAATTTTTAAAGATCTCAGTTTCTGATTTAAAAAAAATAATTTAATAAAAATAATATATTTCATATATTTTTATTTGGAAACATTGCTGAAATGATTTAGTTATTTTATTTAGTAAAACTAAAATGTTTTAGTAAAATGTGTGATATGAAATAATGAAGGAAGTTGCGGTAATACTTGAGAGTCTCTAAGAAATTATCCTCATAAAGGATACATTACGTTTATTTACTATATAAACATAATGCCAATAGTTTCTAGTTGATGTAATCTACTCGCGTTTTGCATTCTACAAGTCTGCTTGAGTCAAAATATAGACTGTAATTTCGTAATGGATCAATAAATGGAGGCTGTGTGACGTCAGAGGGTGCGGCGAGGGTGGACGAGCCCACGTTATATACGCATGCGCCTTTTAACATTCACGGCCACGTGCTGTTGCATATGACATTTTAATTTAATTTTATTTTCATGCGAAAAAATTTGCATTGCAAAATAAAATATCGTTGAGACATTCGCATAAAAAATATAACTAATATATTGCACAATTTATATACAAATATTATAGCTATTTATCGTAACAATGTGTGTATGATGAGTATATCTTACACATGAATTTGGGACTATAATTAGTAGCATACAAGCTTTTTTAAATATTTTAAATATTATTTATTTATAAATATTTCATATACAATATAAAGTATGGAATATATTCGATTAGAAAGTCTGATAGCCTTAGTTTCTTGGAATGTTTAATTATGTGGTAGCAAAAAGATATAAAAGACCCTTTAGAAAATGAAATATCTCTGAGCCACCCAATTTAGACTGACCATAGACCCTGTCAACAAATGTAATTGGCACTTCTCCTATTGTATAATTGAATTGTCTAGCTCTGATTATCATTTCCATTTGGAATACATATCCTTTAGATACACAGGATTGTATCAATTTTTCTAATACATCTTTCTTATAAAGCCTGAAATTATAAAATCAAATATCATATTAGAATTTTTCACTCATAGAAACAAAAATAAATCTATAAAAAATTCATCACCTAAAACTACCAGTCAAATCGCTGGCTCCGGGCCTCAATAAAATCTGAGTTATAAAATTTGCAACTCTACTGAATAGTTTTCTTTTAAAATCCCAGCCATAAACACCACCGCCTTGTATATATCTCGTACCACTAACTACATCCAAATTGAGATATCTTTGTAGCTCAACCATTTTTGGAATAAATTTGGGCTAAAAAATAAGTCTTTCTTTATCAAAAACATTCATACCCAGTAAGTGAATTATCGATGATGTCAGCAGATTGACAGTAACAAATTTAATAAAAAATCACTAACAAAATCTGTTTTAAGCTTATTTTATAGGTAGAGTCTGTCAATAAGAATTAAGAGCAAATTGTCAGCAAAAAATTGCAAAAATAATATTCAATAGATTTTAATTGATTTCTACTACTAAATTATATAGCAAATATGTTAAATCTTCAGTTTCATATCTTGTTAATAAAGTATTACTATATTTCTATCAGTATTTTATTAAATATTATATATGCCAAATTTTGTAGTTTTTCTATTGATAAAGTTTGCATTAAATGCATTGTAAAATCTTTTTTAAATAGATGATTGATTGACTCAATGTTGTTATTATTGCTCAATATAATACATACATGATGAGACAAGTCGGCATCCATGATAATAATGAAGTTTCCAGTTGCGTACTTAATTCCATGTATGTAAGCAGTACCCAGTCCTAACTTCTTTTCTCTGGGCTTTAAGACTATTTTATCTTCACCATAGATGTGTTGCAGTTGCTTAGCTACATCTTGAGTTCCATCTGGAGAGCCGTCATCTATCACAATAATTTCATAGGCGAGCTCGCTGTAATGTGTAAATTATTTTTGACAAGACAGTTTTCAACCTGACAGTATAAGTTTTCTTATTTTCATTTTATTAATTATATGATTTCCGTCCGGTTCTAGGTTATGCGGTTGTCTAGTTACCTTTCTTCCATATATTTCATGATAAGCCATATTATTATAGGTAAATTTTCCACTTCGTTATAAGTAGGAAGTAAAATTGAGTACTTATCATTTTTACACAATTCCTTTATATCCCTTTTCACTTGTTCTTTATTTACCATTTCGACTCAGCTGTTTACAAAGAAATCAACGTATCACAGAAAGATTTACGATTGGTAAGACTGTCGAAAATGTCCAAGTTAACGCGCGGGTGCGCATGATTGAAAATTAAAACCGCGATTTTCAAACCAATAAATTGAATATTCTACAAAATATATTTTATAAAATTCTTTATAAGCTTTAGAGAGAAAGAAAAAAAAAGACAGAGAGGCTTTTCAAAGTAGACAAAAATTACGAAGCAGTAATATTATATATTATGAAGTAATAATATTCGATTAAAATAAAATGTTTAAATAATTTATATTAATTATGTTGCAATTTATATATATATAATTTTTTAAATAATATATTTAATTTTTTATATGTGTACATATATATAAAATATATATATTAAAATTGTTTTAAAAATTATTTAATGTTATTTAATAAAATAATATACAATATAAATGTTAAAATGTTATATTTTCGTACATCACAAAATGTATATCTTATTCTTTGCTAGCCAAAATGACGAAAACAAATGATTGAGTTAAACGTATTAAATGCAAACATTATTAATTAAAAAAAATAGATATTTTCTAGAAATTAATATTAAAAATATTTACATAAAAAATATCAAAGTTAAGTAATAAAATTAAGTATAAAACTAATAAGTTATTTATATACATATTTCATTTTGGTATAAACTATTGTCTTCATATTTTGTTCTATTACATTTTTTATACATTTTTTTTATTTTATTGTAACATGTATATACTTACATTTGTCCTTACTAAGATATTTTATAAAACACATTTTATAAAACTATTTGCTACGCTTTATCGTTATATTTATCAAGTTATCAAATATCATTATATCATTATATAAATAGATAATGCCGAATTAAGATACTGATAGAAACATTTCTTATTCTAGATTCCAACTAAATGTTTTGCAAATTCTATAATAATTATTCGCAGTATTCTATCGATAATATTTATCACATTTCCTACTGGCTATATTATGGACTATTGCTTTCTATAATCGCCGACAATCGCTTATCGTCATAACGAGCCTGCGAACATTCCGCAAATATCCGCGAAGAGGCACTCATGCACACATACATTCGCGTACATATTCGCACACAAATATACATATTTTATATATATTTGGTCCATTGGCCGTTTCCGCCGCGTGCGACAAAGGTCGGCTAACTGATAGTGCTGGTTCATTAAGTTTGAGCACCCTAGACATAATATTTGAAAAATTATAGAAAGTTAAATAAGAAAAAATTATAGGCTATAATTTTTTCTTATTTAACTTTCTGAAAAATTCAAATTTATAGTTAATTATCATATATCATATGATAAATATATAAAATTAGTAAAATAATTTGCATATCTATTTTTTTATCGTATTTACTTCATCAAATAATAAATAGAAAAATAGAAATATATAAGATACATCTATTATATTCTTAAAAACTTTCTGTAAATATTATATATTATATATAATTTTATTATATATTATTATATAATTTTATGAATTATATCTGTATGCCGACATCTGTAAATTTCACATGCGTACTCCATGATATAAACATAAATTATCGAATTTCTGACATCTTAAGAATTTCTTAGAACTTTGTTCTAAGAAAATTTTGAAATTACGTATTTTGATATTTGACAATTTTGACAATTTTCATTTCTGCATTTCTTCTCATGTATTTTCCGAGGGGTTAAATCTTCCGGACGGCCCTGTCGACGCACCCCTCAACCCGCGGAACAGCATGAGTGTTCACGCCGACGACCCCCACCGCCACTTCCACCGCCGACCTCGAGATAGCCGAGGAACAGCCGCCGCTCCGAAGCAAACGACGCCGCACTCTACGGTCGGTCGTTCGCGGACCCGGAGTGCTCGTTTCTCCGCTCCGATCTGATCGGCGTGCATTTGTGCTCCTGCGAATTCATACACGACAGTGTCGTCGGTACGTAAGATCGGAGTCGCGGAGTCTTCTTCCCCAAGGAGACGACGATCCTCGACGAGGAGCGAATTGGCAAAAACGAAAGTCGACCGATTTTGCGAAATCGTTCGTGGGTGGTTGAGTGCGTGTGAGTGTGTGTGTGTGTGTGTGTGTATGCCTGTGTGCGTGTGTGGTGGAACGTATCGGCAGTGATCGTGCTGTGCGTGCGTGCCAATTTGTGGGCAATTTAAAATGCGCCATCGACCCTTTCGCCAACGGAGGCTGAGAATTCGACAAGACGCGATCGCTAATGGTTCTCGTCGAATCACAAGGAAGTCGAGATGATCGGCCAGAAATTAATTTTTATGCCGATATCGATTTACAAGAAGAGCGAACCGCAACTAAGATCTAGGGCAACCTTTTGCGACGATTCCGTTCACGTCTTTGTGTTAATCGCTTCTTTCGAAACTAAAGGCTTAGCTAGTACAGCGACGTCTGCGTGGATTCTTTTTTTATACTTTACTCTGTTTCTCATATGGTCACGAGATTTCGTTCTTCTTGCCATCGACTTTTTGTCACGATTCTCTCTCAACGAGAGATTCCTCCTCTCGCCATTCGTGATTTTTTTCGCGCGTGGAAGATCAGCCGTTCACCATCGCGATTTATCTTTTCTTACGGTCGCGAGATATCGTCTTTACGACGAGTAAACTATAATCTTCGTCATGCTTCTGAATCTTCCGTTATCTCCTCATAATTCCTTCCTCGGCTTGCTGCAGTCGAGTTACATGATGTAACGACGGTGACGTAAAATGCGGGCGTCACGTCTCGATTCTGCGACTCGATACAATCAACTTCCGCGAAAGACGCATCGGCTGACGTACCGGATCGGAGAATAATTTCGGGATGCGCGATGGGTCCCCTGCGGGAGGTTGGGAGGGCGTGAGGTGATCGTGTGGATTTAGCGGGGGTCCACGGACACCATCGTGGCCGCCTGGCCAGCTCCGAGCTCCGGATGGCAGCATGGCGCGTACCGTTGCGAGGGGTAGATTGAACCGCTCCGCACCCTGCGATCAATAAACTCGCCGAGAGGGAGCAGCCCCGTGACGAGCCGTTCAACTCCGCCACATTTTGTCTCCCTCCTTTCCTCCGCGTCTCTTCATCCCCTCTCGCGATTGCTTTTTCCCCGCTTTCACCCCCTTTTCATCCCCTTCCCCTCCCTGACGACTCACCCGCTGTTCTTCAACCGTAACCCTTGCTATCAGCGATTCAGCACGTGCACTTCCACTCCGTTCCGCAACGAGATAGCGCTTTCGCGTTCTACGGATTATCGTGGACCAACGAACACCAAAGAGGCTCCATGCTTTTCAGAATTTTCCTCGCGACTTTAATCGCCTGTTCTTGCTGCAGTTGTTGTAAAAGAGAATAGGGATTGTAGGAAACATTTCCTCTGCTCCTTGTACGGAATACTATTCTTTCAAGATTTACAAAGAATTACAAGAGTGTATTCGCGACGACGATGTCAGAAAATTTAAATCTTTCGAGTATTACACAATTAATTCTTTCTTTTACATTTAATTCAGCTCTTCAAGAAAATAGTCAGACTATTTGTACGTTGAACTCTTTAATTTCTTTAATAATTTTATTTTTATCATACATTTAATAATTTTTTCTCAATCGTTATATGATTGTTGATAAATACATAGAAATGTCGGATTATTTAATAACAAATTTAAATTATTTTATATCATATAATATTAAAATTATAAAATTATTTTATTATAATATTTCTAAAAACAAGATTTGAATTTAATTATATGTAGAATCTATCATTCCTATTGAAAGCAATTACGTTTAACGTTCTGTACTAGCATGTGCCAATCATCAATAATCTCAATTTTAATAACAAATTTTTAATAGTAATTAATAATATAAGTTTAATTAATGTATCAGACATGTTTATTATTACAAATTAATTAGTCTTGAGATGTCAAATCTTTCATTTAATTAAATCATATTTATGATTTCTACTAATGGAGAACAGTTAATTTCAATTTGGAAGTCTACTACGCGAGTTTTTTTAATGCATGTTAAATTGTCAGACAGATTGAAAGTGATTGGCTTTCAACGTTGGTTACTGACCGGCCTTGAATTAAGTGAGAATCACTTTCGCGTTTTCTGCCAAATTTATTATGTACGTTTAGCTTAATTAATAATAATTAAATATTTCTTAATGCCTCTTCTTCGCGAGCTAGTGAAATCATCGCGAGGCGAACCATCAGCGATCGTTTTATTGGCAATTGTATCGGTCAATCAGTGTATTTTATGTGAAATCAGGTGAAAATCAGTGCCCTCATAAGAGTCACGATAAGGATGTGGCGTGAGCCTCCAGGTGGAGGGTATAAGGCACCCATCCACATCATTACTATGCTGCTCTTAGCTGCTGTTCTGGCATTGACAACGGGTGAGTCAACTTCGAACAAAAAGATCACATTCACACCACGTTTCTCGGCATGACTCGACGATAATTGCGAAGAAGCATTGACGAATGAGGATTATGCGATTTGCGAGCTATAAACCGGAAAAATGTTTATGTAGAAAGACAAGCCACGACTTTAGTGCATTAAACGTACTGTAGCAAAACACAAATGAATATAGGATATATTTTGAAGATAGTAACAATAATTTTATGTCAAAATGATATTTTTATGTGTAACACATAACTGAAGAAATTATAAGTATCAAATATAGAATTAAGAGGTTTTATGTACAAATTATTTATTTGATATTTAAATATGTTACTGCAATATCTTGTAAAATATACATCCCAAACTTATTGAATTACACAGTTTCATCATCTGACTCAACATTCTGATCTTCATAGTACACGTGCTTCGAGTAAATGATACTAGACATAAGATATCCTCAGACTTTCCTGGTTACCATCAGCATGTTGAGTCAAGATTAGCATAAGATGTTGATTAGATAAAATGTTGATTAATTTCTATCAAGACATACATAATATAAATAAAATTGTGTAAATTAAGAAAATTATTTTTCACTTATATTATTTAACTTTGATATATATCTTTTTAAATATAGATACCTTAAAGAAATATCAGAAATTATTATTTTATAAATGGGATATAAAAAATTTTTACATAATGTGAAAGTTTGATAAAAAGGACTTTTTGACGTGAAATTTTAATAATATAATAACTTAGAATTGTCGTATAATTTTTAAATATCCAACCAACGATTTCGGCTCCAGTCATTGTGATTCATTATAACGGTTCACTGCTGCTTTTTTGCCATAATCTCGTATCCGCGTATATTTGAATTGAACAGACGGTTAGTTGGGACTGTGAAAGGTCCCCAGTATAAGGTACCAACGGATCACGAAGCACAGCTGTCGGAGGAGAGGTTAAGATGAAGGGGACGAGGAGATCGAGGGAAAGGAACAGCTGCTGTTCTCAGAATGCAGGCTCACATCGTGCTCCAAGGAGAATTGCATTCGCGGATGCTTGCCACCAGGTGAATCCGTTTATTATGCGGAACCTGCGTGCTTCATCAGTAGAACTTCATTTACTATGAAATGTAAATGACATCAAGCTGGAGTATTCGCGAAACTTCTGATTGATCTTTGAGCGGCGGATGAAAATTATAAAAAAGAAATCACAATTGGATTTTATTAATGGTTGCATTATGCAATAGACGAAATTGTAAAAAATACCATAATATGTTCGTAATAATTTTATTATGTCAAAAATTTACGAAATCAAAGATATATGAGATATTTTGTATTTTTAATACAACTGTTTGCAATTTATGATAATTATAAATATATATTGATATTATAGATATTAAAAATATGAATAACAAATTGCATATTTATAATCAAACTTTAATTTAACAATATTTTATTAAATTTTAATTGTATCATATGATATTGACATTAAATTTATTGTATAGTTTGTATTTTAAGCTTCAAGAAAAAATAGAATTTAAAGAAACGTTTGATATTTCGGTATCCAACAGGAAGTCTCAGAAATAGATGTAGTTATAGAAGCCGTATATGACTTGAAAGTCTGAGTGGTTTAAGAATTTCTTCAGACTTCCTCCACCTACGTGAAGATTGTATATCCACCTTCGCCATTAATGTGCATTAACAAAATAATTTGAATAATTCTAATAATATTTAAAAACTAACTGTTACTTTTATAAGAACTCATAAAAAAATGATTAGGAAATACTTAAAAAATTAATTAATTTGTTTTAAGTATTAATTAATCTGTTTTTTATTCACTTAAATAATAATTAAATAATTAAATAATTAAATAATTAAGAATCACTTAAACTAACTAAAACACAACATTTTGCGAAGTGTAAAGAAAAACTATATGAAATTTAGTACATATATGAAATTTAGTACATATATTACATAGGCACTGCTAAAATTAAAATTTAATTCTAAATTAAAAAAGTTTCTAGATTAAAAAAGTTCCAAGCAAATGTTCCGTTGAAAACCTATTTAAATAGATTCTATTTTTCTTCTTTTGGAAGTTTCGTTGACTTATGATTTCAACATAAATCTCATTATTATGCACATCACGGTGTCTTATGTTCCGATATATACACACACACAAATACAAATACAAATACACACGTGAGTTACACGCTTGACGATACGCATACTCGTGTGTGCACACTGGAAATATATTCGACGCAGCGTCCGGATGTTCGAGCCTATTGCTATATATAGATTACAGAGCGGTTTTCAGAGTGGGAAGAATCTCGTCTTTCATCAGGGATGCGTCAGAGTTTAATGTCGAAAAAAATTTTTACGTACCACTTTCTACGATCGATATTCGCTCGTACCGCATCCGCCTGTATGTAGCTGCGACAATACCCTGTGCCATTGTTGCAGCGTGCACGTGCCGCAGCACGTACGTATAAACAACACAACCCTCGAACATAAATGCACACTCGCCATTGAAATTGCTTGTACGCACCCAGTTAATCATTGTTATACCCCTACATTACTTTAATCCTTTTAGCCCTTTTGGTAGCCTGACACTATTGAAAGTGTCAACTCGAAGAGATTTAAGAGAAAGGGAAAAAGGGACGAAAGGGAAGAAAGAAGATGTAAGACACGCGAATTTTATATGTTCAAAGAAAACAATTTTATTTCACTTATGTCTTGCAATAAATTTTACAATCAAATTTTTAGTTCTTATGATATGGAGCACGCGAGATCTTTGAGAACTATGAACGTTACTAATTGACTGCAAATGATTAATGATCCCTGATTTGCCCTTTTCGTCTTATATTACAGATTTGAAAATAATAGAAGTGCTGATATCGGAATTCCTTAGCATAGGTAGACGTTCAAAGATTAGAATGATAGGAGAGGATAGAAGGATAGGAGGATAGAATGATAGGATTTTATCGAAAATTCCTAGCTTAGGTATGTGTTTGTTCGAATATTACAAAGAAAGGAATAGTCACAATGAAGTTTAAAAAGAGAAAGAAGAAAAGAGAAATAGAAATAGAGAATATATCAATGCTCGTGGAAAAAGAAGAAAGACGTGTCTTTTATAATCTATTTCAATCTAATCTGTGATTCTATTTTTGAAAAGTTTTCATCATACCATCGCAGCACGCGAGTGAAATGGATCTTGAGGAAAGCTGGATAAGCGACATAAAACTACGATTGTGCAAGCTCAAGTCCGACTAGCAGAAGGCGCAAATCCACAAAAATTCGGAACACCTGTTCTTTATACCTGCATGTGTATCCTGCCCACTCGCTTCAACGGCGCACGCTTCGCCAACCGGTTCTTCGTAACTTGATTTTATACCGTACCGGGTTTATTCGTTCTCTCGCTTCATCGCGGCCGTCATATCGTAGGTGAATCCGTAGGTGGCTACGTGCGAAGAAAGTAGCGCGGTATACTTGTATAAATTTTAACTGCCCTTTACAGATTTATATTATTATTTGCAATTAGATTTACATTATGTCAAGCATTTACATTATCAGCTATAAAATTGCAATTAGTTATTTTTATAAATATATAAAAATAAGTATTGAAAATACTTCTCAATTATTGAAGTTACAAATTCATTACATCTATGTACAGAATGCTATTTGAATGTATAAAAAATGCTATTTGTTTGTATAAAAAAAAATCACATATTACTTATAATATTTAGAAGAGGATTTTCTTGCCTCTTAAATAAAATGTTGAATGTATGATTTATGCGTTCGCAATAAATTTGCAGTCAATGGGACATGCATAATTTGATTTCCATCGATGGAAATAATTTCTTGCTATCGATAGTGCTGATATAGGCGAAGAGTGCAACTCTCCACGACGGAAAAGGAATCACGCATTGTCGTCTCCCTTATGGTCACGTGACGTTGATCGCATATTATTCAATAACAGATCCGACAACCTGTTGTTTGCTGCAATTGGCAACGCGCCAATTGAATGTGGGTGTCGCATATCCTGGTTGAAACGGATGATAAGCGAAACCCGAAGACACGAGACAAAAGGTCTTGTCGCTCGTGGCACTTTAAATTAATTGGCTTCGTGCTAATGTTCCCACAAGCTGTTGAATGTCCCCTGCATTTCGTTCTATCCGCAGAACATTCCTTTTTCGCAACTAAAACTCCATCATAGTTTTCAGACCAATAAAAATTAGATTTATCGTATTTACAAATGTATTTACGATGTTATTTAAAGTCATGGCATGTCATCTATTATTTTAAAAGATAATTACTCTATAGAAGTCAATGACTTGTTTTTTGCAAATAATGTAACACATATAAAAATATTACTAAGATTATTAAGATTAATAAAATTTGGAATTTACTGCATTTATAATATTTCGGAATTTTATATTATATTATCTTAAAAAAAAATCGCTTAAGTAATAGCAAGCATGCATAATTAATTTAAAAATTTTTGCATTTTGCTTGCAGTTGTTTCGGCTGAAGATGTATCTATGGGACCGGTGTTTGTCAAGGAACCTCCGAATCGAATTGATTTCTCAAATGGAACTGGAGCTGTTGTCGAATGCCAAGCAAGAGGAAATCCACAACCGGATATCATCTGGGTCCGTTCTGATGGAACTGCTGTGGGAGATGTTCCAGGCTTGAGACAGGTATTGTCAATTTTTTATCTCTTTTCCCTATTATATCTTACTAGATAAATATTAAAAAAATTAGAAATGAGAGAGATTCGCAATTGATTTTATCAAGCTGTCTCAAAATACGTGCGCAGTACGTGTTGAACATTATATTAATGTTAACGAAACAAACATTTTGAATGGAAAAAAACAAAATCGGAAATACATTTTTCTTTCGTGCGTAGGATGACGAACTATTCTTCTAAATAGCTATCAATTGTCAACTGGTCTCGTATTAAATGCCTATCTGCAATATGTGAATAGAATTATTAAACGCCCATGCCATCCCACATTCATTCACGCGACCGAAGAATGCTTTAATTATTTCCAAGCTTGCTGCGTATGTCATTGTATATTAATTTAGTTTCTACATTTTATGTTATTGGACTTTTGTAGGTTTTGCCAAATGGAAATTTGGTGTTCCCTCCTTTCCGTGCTGAAGATTACCGTCAGGAAGTTCACGCTCAGGTCTACAGCTGTTTGGCACGTTCCCCTGCAGGTTCGGTACACAGCCGTGATGTCAACGTAAGAGCCGGTAAGTTTTAATCTTTATATGTATTCATTAGGCATTTAGCGTTTAGCCATCCATAAAACTTCACAGAAGATGTTTTCAGAAATAAAGAATGCCTTTAAATTTAATCTTTTAAATTTGAATTTGGCACTGATTTTCTGATAAAAATTCAATTGAATATTTAATATCAAAATGAATGTATTAATTCTTAAAATTATAATTAAAATTACAAAAAAAGATTTTTAACTTTAACTAATTTTGTTTAATTAAAAAACATTGTTAAAATTAAGATCGATGGTTTTAGGAATATTCTACATAATGAAACAACAATTGTTTTTTTTTTAATTCACTGTTTTACAAAACATTTTATCCAGTTCAATTTTAATTTTAATTAATACAAATTTTGTCTTAACATTTTTAAAATTAATCTTATTTGTAAATATCTAATATAGTATATTTAAATATAAAATTATATTTTTGAATAAAGATGGCTAAATGTAGGAAAATTTAAAAAATATTCTTTTCAGCTGTGGTTAAAAGCACGCGTTGCTTATTGTTTCTTCTACAATTTCTGATGTCTTCCTTTGAAAGATCTTCAGTTTGGTAAAAGACATCGGTGTCAATTGTATAATATAATAATTCGACTAAAATATTACACATTACTCTTTTAAATATTTTATAATTTCTGCTGCCGCCGTTTATGCGAACCTATATAATTTCAATCTCCAGTCTCAATCTGCTTGCAATATAATGAGGAAATTACTCTCTTTATATGCTTAATGTAATCCTATTTTTATATAATGTATCATTCTTGAGGAACTAAAAATGTTTCTGAATCACGCAATGATGTCATTAAATCTGAGATCACTATGTTTTACTAACCATAAAACAGTTGCATTCTTATCTCTCATTTATTAAATATAACAGAATGTTTAGAAATGTTTTTGAATAATTTTCCCGATAAATATTATGTAACAAATGTAATAATATAATTAAATAATATAATTAATAAAATTATGTTACACATTTATTACATATTTAACAAAATGCAATTATTAAAAATATTATAATTTTAAATATTTAAATATTTAACATTTTAAAAAGATTTTATATTAATTATATAATTAATTAAAAAAATATTTATTTTAAAAAACTTAATAATAAAATAATAATTAATTAAAAAATATTTATAAGATTTTGAGGGCTATTGAGGCTGGAGCAAAATGATGTTCCATGTACCATGAACGCTATTTTATGTATACGAAATTATAGTGGTGGCACAGTATTACGACACCGACGTCAATAAAGAATACGCGATCCGTGGGAATAGTGCCATTTTGAAGTGTGTCGTTCCTTCTTTCGTCGCCGATTTCGTCAAAGTCCTATCCTGGCACACGGATCAGGGAGAAGAATTTGTGCCCAGCGATGACTTTGGTATATTAATAAAATTAGGATTTGATCAGTGAATTTACCGATTTCCTTATCTCCTTGCGAGTAGAAAATTTTGTCGTTGCATCTTTGATATACAATAATCTCGATACACATATATTAATACACATATCTGATAATAATGGAGTATATAATTATTCAGGAAGTAATTATTTATAACTTTATGAAAGCATAAAATTCATTTTTTATTTAGTCGTTACATAAAAACGCATTTAAAAAAATATATTTTAGAAAAATGGCTTCTGTTAAATTTTTTATTCTGAGTCTCGTCAAAATTTTACTCATGTAATTTTTCAATTCAGTTACGCCCCTCACACGGGGACAATTAAGAAATAATGTCATTATTGCTCGCTCATATGTTCCAATCCAAGAGCACAAATGCATCGTGTCGCTCAGTTGAGTGACTGACACCATCCGTGAGACTCGGCCGTATATTGATCTCAATTGCCACGGTGACAAAATGCAAATCAATTTGGAGCAGCGCAACGCAAAAGTATATGGCTCACTTTCCACTTCCACGGCCAACATATATATATGCGTCACATTCGTTAACGTTCAACCCAATGTATCTAGCATGTTAGCTGAAGCGATCGGATATTTGACCATTGACGATGTCAGCTATCTCTCTCATTTTTCTATTAACTCACAGGGTGATACTTGTATTTGCTTGTGACGTGCCGTCTATGTACTTCGAATGTGTCAATTTGTTTAGTACTATTTATTTTCAGTCTCTGTTTTCTTTCTCTGTTCGAGAAATTAATAATATCAATACTAATTAATCATACAACATAATAAATATATTTTTATAATATTTTAAATTAATTTTATCTGAAATATATTATATACGATATGAATTATATAATATGTTATAAAAATATGAAAACAATTAAATTTATTAATTATAGAGCAGTTCTTGTAATTAGGATTAAATATGATTAAATATGATTTCATAAGATTAAAGAAAATTTTACGGTTCTATTTAAAATTTTTTTTAAAACGTTCATCCATTCATGAGTATCCATTCATGCACGCATATATCGAGCTTGAACGTTAATCGATCGTGTGCCATCATGACGCCTATTCGTCGATGACTGCAATATAAGATGCAACAATACAAATAATTCTGCTCGCGGAGCAATGGCGAGATATTTAGCCCAAAGCTGCTGTCAACGTCGTCGAGATTTCATCCAGTTTGAATTCAAAATTAATTTCTTCGAAATCTGAATCCTGTATTTGAAAAATTTATTCATGAATCTCTCATTATAAAAATATGTCAGCTGAGTTACTTGAAGCGATAAAAACATACATACTATTGAACACATTTTCAATCGTTGGAAATAAAAGTGACACGAATGGACGCCATTACACTCAATAAAAATATCGAGCTTTCGCAGATTATTTCGACCATTTATTGCAGTGGTGCATCAATATTATCAATCCGAGGTCAACAATGAGTATGTAATACGCGGCAACGCGGCCATTCTCAAATGCAGTATACCAAGCTTCGTAGCAGAATTCGTTCAGGTCATTGGCTGGCAGGACGATCAGGGGAATTCTTTCGATCCGGATCAGGACAATGGTACAATGCGAGTCTTTTAGAAAATTCGGGCAATCGGAACTCGCGTGGGCAGCAAGTGCTAAACTGGTCAACGTCGTCGATACCGCGTTCAGAAGGGCAAAGAGCAGAAGGGATATTTCAAAGATTTTATTTCTCTTTTCGCCTCTAGCAACATTTGCCTGTAGCAACATTTATTGCAAATTTGGCTGACATTTCGTTGAAATTAATTAAAGTCAGAATCTAAGAGAAAACTTTTTGATACATACATTGATACATACAAATTTGCTATTTTGCATTTAAATGTCTGGAATATTTCGTACGAGCATGGGGATATTTAATATTTGATTTGAGATTGCGTAATTGATTCAGTTTCTTGGGTAGGCCGAATTGCGAGATTCTATTTACTAAGAACCAGTTTCCATAATTATCTAGTTGAACATAGGCTCAAATTGTATAATGTTAACTACTAGAGCGAAGCTCTGATGTAATCACTTTGATCGTAATCACCTAATTTTCTCCAGAGAAATATATTTCGTTGCTACGAAATGATAAAATCAACGTGCATAACAAGGTATTGTCTAGCAATAGTTGCACTGTCACGATAATAATTAAAAAATGTTGCGGCATCCTGAATCTAGAAAATTGTTCCTTCTCGATTAGGCACGCAGCAACACAATCCGATGTTCGGAAGCGCATGATGTGCGATGTAGCAACACAATGTATTATTATGATATGCCATTATTTTTCAGTCGTGACTCAATATTATGAGGCGGAAGTTGTATCGGAATACGTGATACGTGGAAATGCGGCTATTTTAAAATGCACCATACCGAGCTTTGTCGCCGAATTCGTATCGGTGGAATCATGGGTGGGAAGTGACGGTTCTACCTTCAGACCGTCTACTGATTACGGTATAACACATTTATATATGTTCCTATATTTATCCAACTTATTTATTTCTTTATCATTCCTTCTAAAGGAAACTCTTGATAGAGTGATACGCCAGGAAGATATTATATTTCTCTATTTCTCTGTACATGTGTGTGTATGCCTCTTTCTTTTTCTGATGAAAACTGATACCAATTATTTTTACTATTCATAACGATAACATTTTCATTAAAGCCGATGTGTATAAAATGGAGACCTACAATCGTTACACTTCTGAAGAAGAAAACATTTTTAGAAAGTTTTTTTTATTAATCATTACAAAGTCTTTCTTAATAAAAAAATTGTTTAAGATTAAACTTTTTATAATTATAGCTTTTATTAAACTTTTACGTATTTTTAAAAAATGTATTTGTGTGGCAAGATAAATTATTCTATTTAATTAGAAGCAATTTGCAGCACGCATATAACATTTTAAATATTTATCTTTATTGTTTATAAATTATATTATACAATCAATATACAATTTGTTGCATCTTGCTTGACTTTAATATCCAAACGTTACACGATATATATGATTACAACTGATGAACACGTCGGGCAATAAGTACACATGATAAGTACTCAGAACAAGGAAATTCTCTTTCCGGTCGTGTCACCCCTATCTCCCTGCTATCCAGACACCCTGTCCCCTCGCCCAACTTTGTCAAAGTTCAAAGTGGCACGTGGTAACGATTCGTTTCCGCCGGCCACGCGGTCTGATCTGATGGCGGCTGAACGGCGGCGGCAGAACATACATACGCGAGAGTTAATGAACCATCTGATGGCTCTCACGCCGCGAATTATGGTAGACTAAGAAAATAAGCGCGTCTATGGACGAGCGTGGAAAAATTCGAGAAGTTGCGCAAGAAAGTTTTAAAATAAATCTCCCGTTTCAGCATGGCATAGCGTAGTGTTAGGCCCAATTAATAATTTACCACACTCAAAGTAAACTTGATTGAAACTGAAAATAAAATAATGCAAAATAGAAAAAAAAGCAAAAGCAATCTTGAAATCTAGCTTGTGATTATTGCATTTTATTTTATTGTAAATATACAGAAGTATTCATCGAGTTCAAAAAAATCCCAAACAGTTTCTATTGTATTATTTTTAAATTATTATTGTTAATGGTCTTGATTTATTTTATTTATTTTTTTCTATTTTTACTATACTTTCTTTCTTGTGGATTTATTCGTAGAAAGCATATTTTCCATCTGAAAATTATATAACAAATTAAAAATAACAAATATATTTTATTCTGCACATGTATATGGAAGTTAATTCTCTTATATTAATTTTTAAACAATACATTTTTATTAATTGAATTTGCGCTTATTTTAATGTGTATCCCCACATAGTCGTCACTCAGCCTTACAATCCAGAGATCATGAACGAATACGTTATAAGGGGAAACAGCGCGATATTAAAATGCAGCATCCCCAGTTACATCGCAGAATTCGTTACTGTCGAGGCGTGGATTCGCGAAGATGGAGAGGTCTACCTTCCGGAGAATCCTGCGGTTGCGCAGGGTACTATAAATCCCTTTAGGCGGCCCTCAATTATTTTAAGCGCACTGAAAATTTGTATATGGATTAAGATGTTCATTCTGATAGAACCGATAGTAAACCGAAAATTAATAATTTAAGAATGTAGTAGAAAATTTAAAATCAAATCTATCCATTTTTTAAATAAAAAATATGATTTTGAAATTAAAACACAATTAAATTTATATTATTTTAGATTTTTTAATTAACAAATTTTAAATGTTACAATTGTATCAATTATATTTTTAATTCTAAAACAACTTAATCCTATACAACTTGTTATGAAAAATATCCGTCGCTTATTCACTAACGCTGCTAACCGAAATAACACATATATTTTTCTTGCAATTCTATTGCGAGATTATTTGCGAGATTTTTGGTAATGCGAGAATGCATTTTCTTTTCTACCGATATCCTTAAATAATATATTTTATGAAGATATATATATATATATATATATATTTATTATTTTTTGATACAAAATATGAGGTTTATTGCTAAAAAGTATAAGCATTTTTGAATTTTTATTTATTAATTTATTTATTTTACATGAAGTGGTATAAAATAATCGTATAAATTTCATTGCGTAATTGGGAAGAAAATTATCGAACTTACGAAGAAACGGTTTGTATTTTATCGTATTTTAAAGCGTTAACAAATTGTCGGCAGTGGTTTCGCAATTCTACGTTACCGAGGCCGAAAACGAATACGTGATCCGGGCTAACAGCGCGATCATGAAATGCAAAATACCGAGCTTTGTGTCCGAGTTCGTCCACGTGGATCAATGGGTGACCGACGACGGGACGATTTACACACCCGGACAGGAATACGGTATGACGCCGGTCGATACCGACGTAGTATGCGTTGTTGTTCGCGAGATAGCTTCTTCTGTATTCTCTTATTTCCCCGTTATTCTCATTTCCCATCCTCAAACGAGTTCTCGCACTTTCTTCTCGTTCGTTCTCAGGCAACTGTCGGCTGCAGTTCGCGGCTCGTGACGAGTCCAACTTTTACTTTCGGATCTGCTATAATCCAGTGCAACCGTGCACATCAAGAGAAAGAATTACATTTGAAAGCGTATTTAAATTCCAAGATAAATATCTGATGGCTGATATGTTGACATAAACAAAAACAAAATGCCAAAATGGATCTGGAAACAATAATAAGTTTTAATGCCAAAAGTACAAGTATGGCTTTATAGAATATTAATTATCTAGAATATTAATCGTCGATACAGTTTGAGTAGCGTCCGTCAAAGTGAAACACATTTGACATGATTTGTTTTGAGAAATCGCGCGTTGCAGTGGTCCAGCAATTCTACGAGACGAGGGTCATCGACGAGTTCGTCTTACGCGGAAATACGGCAACCCTGAAGTGCCTCGTACCCAGCTTTGTGGCGGATTTTGTAGATGTAATTGAGTGGCAGGCTGAGGATGGTTCCACGTATAGCGCGAATAGCCAGCAAGAAAAGGGTACTTATGTCAGTTGTGTATGAAACCAACGACATAATGATATTTATAATTCTTTCATCATTGTTTCGTTTTACAATTCTTTACGTTAATAACGATGTTATTTTATTTTATACTTTTTCTAGAGAAATCCTTATTCACTCTTCATATTTTTTTCTATCCTTTGAAACTTATTATGACATCTATCTTTCGAACATGTAGCATCTTGCAAATTAAATTACAATGTTTATCTCAAATGGATAGAGACGATTCATTCATGTGTGCGTATACTAACGACAGTTTGGCAGAACGCTTATTTTCTTTTAATGAAAAGAAGAGATGGCGGTCGATGGAGTGAAATGTAGGTTTTGCCTCAGGAAGCTTTCTCTTTTCGATAATTCGATAATTGATAAGGGCGAATAGAGGCAGAGCATGCGGCTGGCAGTGGTCTCGTTCGACGTGATCCTCGGATTAGGATAAACCGGATTAATCGAGTTGAAGCGAATTAACGCCCGTACGACCAGGCGATTTGATCTACTTTTCGTAAAGAGAGAGGATCGTTAAAGGGTTATTCTCTGCAAAGTAATCGAATTTACTTTATGGCCGTGGTAGCCGGTACTTGAAGACATCATAATATTAATTAAGAAGAAGATATATGGCAGGCCGAATAGACGAAATTTTATTATACTCTCATACGATCTCTTCACGTTTAATTTTTTATTAGGAAAACAGATTCTTTAAAGCATGTATTGCATATTTCAAAAGTCTTGTTAAATTTATTTGTCAAAAGATGAGAGTCTATTTCAACAGCGTTGTTAAATTTGTTTATCGAGAGATGAAAATAGAAATTATAACGATATAAATCTTAATCAAAACTGAGGACAAAATTAGACTTGTAATTACTTCAAATGTAAGAGGAAAGCATTATCTCAAATATTATTTTGAAGTTTGTCATTCCTAAAATGTGATATCACATATTGATCTTGCTCGATACGACATCCGCGTATATCCGCAAGCAAATTTCCATATAAAATCAAAAGATGAGAGTGCGGGTTTGCTAATTTGCAATTAAATTACATCGAATTAATTGGATCGATGTCCACGTGCAACAGAATTTGTTGGACTCGATAGAAGCAGGACAGGAAACTAGTTGCAGCGGCACTCAGTTTGCAGACAGCCAGACTCATTGGAATTTTAATCGGCGCGATCAAAGCGACGCGGCGACACTCGGCAGCCTAGAACAAACGTCAAACTCTTGTTTTTTCTCGCTTCATTGCAGTGGTCGCCCAGTACTTTGAGGTTCAGGTTTACGATCAGTTCGCGATACGCGGCAACGCGGCTATTTTCAAGTGTCAAGTTCCCTCGTTCGTGGCCGACCACGTGGACGTGGTAGGATGGATCGATTCCAACGGCGGCAGTTACGTCGCCGACGAACAATCATATGGTAGTAAAAACTAAAGGGATGCACGCCTTGCATTGTATCCTTGCTTGCAAGCTAGAAGATCACAAGCCTTATCCGGCGCAGATCGTCGAACGAGAGAGAACTGGATTGATCGATCGAGTTATTCGACACCTTACGTGGGTTTTCTTCCTTTCCTCTTAACGATACCACGTATCATATTTGTTTGGTTTAAACGTATTTGGTTTAAAGCGCATGCAATACGATTAGATATCATTTGCGCACATATCGTCGCGATGCGCGCCCATGTGCCATTTGTTTATTGAATGTGTGTAACGAATCATAATGTTGAATATCGATCGCGTCTATTTCAAGACCGGTTGCGCGACCAGTTCTCTTTGACAAACGCAGGAACGTATTCTTCAGCCGCCGTGACAGTAGAGCTTATTTTAATTCACTGAGAAGAGAGACGTGACGGCGTGACGTGAATAGAATTCCTGATTATGATACGTTTCGCCGAACAAAATTTCTCGAGTCATTGAATACTGTCATGATGATCAAGTATAAGTTTTGAGAATAACGTTTGGATCGTTCGTCGAATATTTGCTTTTATCATAAATTCCGTAAAAATTTATTATGTACTATCGAGACACTTTCATGATTAATTAAGGCGATTTTGTCAAATAGATATTTCTAAAAATTATTCTGTGTTATAAATATAGCGATATTAAACAACAGTGCAACAGTGTGCATTGCAAGAACATTGAAATTAGATTCGCTAAAGTATACATTATCTTAACTAATAAGTTGTCTTGAGCCAATAGTATGATAGTAGACACGTAATATCTTCTGGTTTGATCCTTGGTACGAGATAACATAAACTTACTTTGGATTAATGAAATCAACTTTTTTTATAACTCGTAAATTCAATAAAGATTTTCTAGGAAGTTATGTAATAAATTGCGTTTACATAGTTTATATAAGCAGATAAAAGTTGATTGAATTGATATAAATGAACTTACGATAAGAACATAAATGTTTAAGTAAATAATTATTAAATAATATAATTAATTAAATTATATATTAATTTAATTAATAAATTATTAAATTATCAATGATTATACAAAAGCAATGAAAAAGTTATTCTTATATACGAATTTAATCGTTAGTCGTTACGTTTTATTTATTGCTGTGAAATTAATACGTTAACTCCTATGTATTATCATTTCTTATGATAATCGAGATTGTAATCAATCGACGAACGATCGGCGATACGTCCTGTCAGGTGGGGAGATGTGCGCCTTATGGTAAAACCGGAAACCGGTGTCTGGTTGCAGTTGTCGGGCAGCGGTATGCAGTGAACGTGATGGACGAACACGTCCTTCGGGGGAACGCCGCAATTATCAAGTGTCACATACCGAGCTTCGTCGCCGAATTCGTCGAGGTTGATTCTTGGATCGAAGACGAGACCACTGATATATATCCTAGCACCGATTATGGTACAAAATGCGTATTATTTTATGTCATCTTCATTCCGCTCGAATGTCGCGTGAGCTTTCCATTTTTACGACGTTTGCCAATACGCATCATGCGAAAATTTGACAAGAGGACAACTATAAAAAAAATTATGTTCTACTTTGGTGTACATTTGCGTTATTTCGTTGTATGATTTGTGAGGTAACAACAACACAGGATCTTTTCGATTTTAGTAGCGGATTCTTCGATTTCTCTTTTGGTTTCTGATTTTTTTTCTTTCTTTCTGGTATATCTTATTTTTTAAAAACAAATTGACGTATTTCCTTCGTATTGTCCGATCTGTAAGAGCGATGCGTTCCGAACGTTCGAACGGTAAACGTAGAATTACAATACTCGGTAAGCTATTAGTGTGCGGCAATGTGGATCAAGGATTCTCTCATGAGTCGTCCGATCATCATCCGGTAATGATATTCTGTTTGATGAGTGTTTTCGTATTTGAGCAAAAATTATCCTCGGCTCGACCGTGACAAATGAAAACGATATTGATTTCAATCACGAGATCCGTGAAAAAGCATGTTCGCAGTGACGATGGTTTTACACAAATTTTAACGCATAGGAGGGAAAAAGAGAATGGCGAGGAAAGAGAATAAACTTTTTCGCCCGACACGAGTTTGGTTGCGAAATAACAAAAATTCCAATCCAGGTCGTTTAAATCGTTCCATCGGCCTCCGCTCTATCGATCAACTGTAATATATCGATAATGCATCATGACACGTGTGTAAAATACAAAATGTACGCGTTTTCTTTTCTAATGGGATGCCCCTCGTTTCAAAAGTACCGTGCAATGTGGGATTTTACGTGAAAATTTGTACGACGTTGACTGCCGCTGCTCGCGCTGTTCCAGACCTCTCTTCCCCCTTTCCATCGATTTTTTTTTCCCGTTCATTCGATCGGTCCATCCGTCTCTTCTCATCTCTATCCTGCCTCTATCTATGTTTGACAGTAGTTAAATGGCTATGGATACCGCTTGTATGTGATCGCATGAAACTAGTTCGCCTATCCAGGAAGTCTCGTTTGTCGATGAGATACGGCCGCAAAAGCGATCGGATTCGTTAGAGGCGTTGAAACTGGAATTTCAACCACAATGGAGATTAACTTTAACGTGCAAAATGGATTAACAGGCAATTTGTTATATCTCTTGTTTGTTAAGGTAATCTGTATCAAGTTACATCGTATATAGTTTAATTGAACTAGTTTACACGGGAGATTCAATAATATTCAATATAACTTCAATATAAGAGTCCAATAGTGCCTTTAACAAATGATATTTGTTATATATAGTAATATTTATCATTTTTATGTTTATGTTTATTACAATTAACACAAAGAATATACAGATTTCCTGGATGTTTTAACGAGCAAGGGGAATATTGCGTGCCATGCGTTTACGTTTGCAAAGAGATGAAGACGTGATTCCGCATAATATCTTTTCTATAAGTCTATACGATGGCGTGGGCGCAAAGTTCCCTTGCTGTTGTTTGGCGAACGTGCTTTGGTTCCGTGAAGAATTCGCCGAATCGTCGAAGCGGGAAATTGACAAAGGGTCCGTGTCCATTCAGCGTTCGGCGAATTTATATATAAAGAACATTGCATGCGCATTAAATAAGACAGCATTGTGCTCGAAATTTTACATTATTATTATTTCGAGTATCGTGCGATTAAGTCAGGATAATCGATTCTTTTTATATTAATAACATACGTATGCTCGAAATAAATTAATTAATCAATTAAATTATATCGTACAACACCAAATACTGCACAATAACCAGTCAATCGATTATTCTGATAAATTATATAAGTGAGGCTAATGTGCAATGATTAACACATGTAAATCTTGGGCGGGTTTAGATGGAAAATACTTAGTACTGCCATCCGGAGAGTTGCATATCAGAGACGTTGGACCCGAAGATGGATACAAGACTTATCAATGCCGCACGAAGCACAGACTCACCGGTGAAACTAGGCTATCCGCGACGAAGGGACGTCTCGTCATTACTGGTAAGTCAAAACACAAAAGTGTTTCATTTTTTTCATATGGAAATCACGATTCTGATTCAGCACCATTCTCTTTTAAAAAATATTTCTCGATCAACCTTCGATGTAAGCGGAGGAATACAATTTTGTTAATTAATGTGTCGCATCTATTTTTCGAAAGAAATCAGAATCGTATTTTTAGTTTCGGACCTGGATACCATAATTCACATTTTCGATTTTGCGGATCAATTAATTGTAATATTTATTTCATATAAACATATATTATAAAAGTTAATTAATGTTGAAATTATCACTGCGTAATAATTCGTTTGTCTCCCAAATTAATATTAAATAAAAATTTAACATTTTATAACAGAAAAAAAAAACTTTTTTTATTCTCCAAATATAAATTTATATATTTGTTTTAATTTAGCATAAATTTTCAATGCCATTATTATAAACTATTTATATTGCGAGGTGTCTAGGTTTGAAACTAATATCCGAAAGATAACTGATTTGTTATAACAGAAGTGAATATGCACGAAATTGACATTTCAAATAATTGCTGTGTAATCTTTCAAATTCAATTTTTAGATTATTTCTATTATTGTATAAAGTATCGTACAATGTATTATTATATAAATTTATATATACATATATATATATTTCTGGATATAATATTATTGTAAAATATTTATATTTCTGGAAAATCGGTTATCTTTTCGGATTTATAGTCACGTTCGATGAACGTGCAGTCGTTTGTACCAACGAGTTTGATCTCACTCAATTTCTTCGAAAAATATACGAAAGGTCAACTGTTACGTGAAGCTGTTCAATATTTTTATACTTCATACTTTGAACTTCTCTGCTTGGAAAAAATCGACACGCATGTCCATTTAACTTTGCGATCAAGCTCGTTGGTGAACCTGAATGCTGGGACAGGGTACCCCTGCGGGCACGCGCCACCGCCCGCCCAAAACTCGACTCTTGACTTGATCGGTTTCGAGAGAAATTATCTAAAAAAAAAAAAAGATAAATGAAAAAGAAAAGAAAGAAAGAAATGACTTGTGCGAAATTCTTTCGACGCTTTGCGGCGCCTTCCGCGATCTCCGGGCTCTGTCCTTCGCTCTCGCGTGGTAAGTTTACGGAACATGTTCTTTCAGCCGAGAACTTCACCGTATGGATGCTGCGCATAGTTCAATAGACGTGGCACTCAACGTAGCTGAACTCCGTTCTGTGTTGTGAATTAGGCGGAATCGATCGAGTCTTTGTTCGCTCCTGCAGTAAATTAACAGGGATATTTGAGCCGTTAAGTGCGAAAGTGATACCTTTTTTTAACCATACTTCTCTCATTTTCAAAAAAGTCTTTTTTAATCGTGTTCATTTTTTTAATAAATAAAATAAGAAATATTATATCGAGTTACATAATTAAATTTAAGCAATTGAAATTAGTTCATATAAAATGGATTTTACTTTTTCTTTTTAATTAGTAACATGTATCACTAGTTCACTGAATGGCTTATTTTATCACGTGATTCGACTAGTCAATAGTTAAGAAGTTTTCTTTGATATATTCTGACGGATTCAGCGTGTAACAACGCGACATTGAGAGCAAAGTCACTTTCGCTTCGTCATCGCTTTCGATTCGCGTAACCATTGAGTACCATACTGATCGGCAGGATGACACCGATAAACGAATCGCTTTGTTCGTACGGCGAGTGGCGCAATAGCGCGGAGACGAAGCTGTCACGTTGCGCGATGCAACAATCTAAAAGCTAACTAGAGCAAGATGCAATGTAGCTGTAATAGCGATGATTGGCGACACGAGCAGGGGGCTTGGCAAGTATATATGGCTCTACGCTGGCTTTTCGTTATGCAGAACCCGTGGGGAGTGTACGACCAAAGTTCCCTACGATGGACAACATAAACGGACTTTCCGTAGGCTTGGAAGGCAATATACCGCTTTTGTGTCCTGCCCAAGGATTCCCAGTACCATCTCATAGGTACGATACTCTTGATCGAGGCGCAGATTAACTTGTGAAACTGGAAACTATTAAATGAAACGTAAAGCAGCTTACATCAGAACAATGTTTAACAATGATGATGGATTAGATACGTTCCTGTTTGCATTATAGCTTGGATAATATTTCATAAAATGACAGGAAATAAAGTTGTGCGGAAAATAGCCAAGGCAATTTATGAAAATAGCAGATGCAAAAAAAACTAGTTGTGTATAGTTAGAGACGATGGACTTGTATTGAAAAAAAGGAGGTAATTAGTATAATTTTTTGATAGTTAAATATATTTACTGTGGTTTTAATTAGACAGTTTTTTATTGCTATTTAGCATAAAGTCAGGTGTTTAAATAAAAAGCATTAATCTGATAATTATATTAGAGAACTTAGAATCTTTGTAATCAAAAGCAGCTCTCAATTAATATCAAGTTATTTTAAACTCGATGAATATGAAATAGATATCATTATCTAGCAAATGTTTCATGATATCATATACGTGTATGTGTGCACAGGGGTTCCCCGTTCCTTCTCAATGACCTAGTTAAATCATCTAGTGTCATCATTCTCGAAAGCGCTTATGTAGATTCATACACAGTCACGACGTTGAATCAATTTATCGTTTCTTTCCGCGCGGACTATTTGTATTCCATATAAAATACAAACCGAATCCGAAGAATCCCAAGAACAGAAATGGCGTGATTTTTAGAGCCGGTGGGTAGTGTGCGTCCAAAGATTCCGTCGACGGATGATGTACGCGGTTTCCGGACGCTCGTCGGAGATTCCCCAGCCCTGATGTGCCCGGCACAGGGGTTCCCCGTTCCTCTGTACAGGTAGAGACTACGTCACGGGCAAACGCGAGTCCTTCGGGATGACCGTTCGCTGCGAACGTGCAAGTCCCCCAATTATAAACGATATGATCAGAGCCGATTGGCAGCGTGAGACCCAAGTTCCCGACGATCGACGACTCCAGGAGCTTTCGTACGACGAAGGATGGCTCGGTCACGTTGCTGTGCCCCGCTCAGGGGTTCCCTGTCCCCCTGTACAAGTAAGTCGCGCTACGCGAAAGTCGTTATATATTTTTCCTTTTTTCTTTCTTTTCTCCTCGGATCTCATAATACATCGCAGAGCCTGTGGGAAGTGTACGTCCGAAGTTCCCCAGCGTCAGCAACATAAACGGTCTCATCACGTTTACGAATGGAACTTTGCCGCTTCTGTGTCCTGCACAGGGCTTCCCAGTTCCATCATATAGGTATTACATCATCGAGTGTCTTAGTGTCACTCCGACTCTTGCGTTCTCCATTAAGAAATTGCGATTAAATATTCCGTACTTGCGGCGAAACCGCCAGTAATTAGCAATGACGATACATCTGCCATCGCGGCAGTTCTCTTTTCGCGTGACACCATTTTGCTAATTAGCGATATGGCCTCGATTTAATATTAATTATTGCGTTCTAATGAAAAATCCTGATAACTGCATCAATAATTTCATTTTATGATTCTATGATTTCCCCTATTTTATTATTTCTTTCTTGTTTATTTTACTTTTTCTATTCTATTACAATGTAATATTATCAGGGAATTTCTTTTTTATTATTTTTAAAGTTAAATGCTAAAGAAAATTTGTGTTTCTGTATTGCGCACAAAAATTCTTGTAGCGTCGAAAGATAACATGGAGTTATGTATGTTTTTATTCTGAAAATTTGGAAGATGTAAAGAAATTTAATTTGATCTTCAGGGGTTCCCCGTCCTTTTGCACATTGATAGTATTCCATTTGACGATAGCGTATACAGTGTTCAATAATGTTTAGAGCCAGTTGGCAGCGTGAAACCAAAATTCCCAACAATAGACGACATCAGAGGATTTCGCATGATCAAAGGTGGATCTGTCACATTGTTATGCCCCGTTCAAGGGTTCCCTGTCCCGATTCAAAAGTAAGTCGAAATTCGCGATATTTCATTGTCGTTTTTTCCTCACAATTGTCCTCTTCTCTTTCGGACTGCGATTGGTAGAGCCCATAGCGAGCGCACGTCCAAAACTTTCGAGCACTATCAACATGATTGGGCTCGTGACGAGAACCAACGGAAGCTTGCCACTTTTCTGTCCTGCTCAAGGATTCCCTCTTCCATCTTATAGGTAGGATTGATTATTAAAACAATGATTTGAAATGTGATTACATAAAGTCAGAACTTATATATAATTTTATAAATTTCTATAATAATACATCTTTATAAGCTAGAAGATTTAAAAAAATATAATTCTTAAACCATAATTTCTGATACTACCTAAGAAATATTAAATGAAAAACATATACATATACATATACATAGACAAGCGTCTGGTTCGAGCTAGTTATCACTTCAATGAGTTCAAAGGGTTCCCTGTCCCCTGGCATACATAAGTGGATCATTGTAACGTTGTCAAACGTTTCTGACACATTTCCTTCCACTCCCGGTCTTTCCGTAGAACCCGTGGGGAGCGTACGTTCAAAGTTTCCGACAATGGATAATTCACGTGGATTTATCTCAAACCAAAGAGACTCTTTGACTCTGCTCTGTCCTGCTCAAGGATTTCCTGTACCATCGCATAGGTGGGACAAGGTTATATCGCAGCGTATTCAGATTAGAGATTTTAGAGATAAATATAATTGCGCGGAAGCGATAGAAACAACACGAGCGATCGTATAATTAAATTTGATCATTTTTTTGAAATTGTAAACTTTTTTAAAATATAGATTTAATAAATTCATTTTTCTATTATTATTAAAATTCTCCTTTTATTGTTTCATAAAAGTATTTGTTTATCATTCTGATGATATTTATCTCATAATAATACAATTATTAATATGCCCTGTCTCAGCAAGCTTATATATATTTAAGAAAAAATAAAATTTTATTAGTTTAAATTATTGCTTTATTAGTTTAAATTATTGCTTTATCGTCGCAATTATATGACCATAGATGCGCGTTGTACGCTCGTGCTTTCTCTTTCGCTTTCTTATAGAACCAGTC